GAGAAAATAGATTAAGGATTATGTTAAAAAAAATAATAATAATTTAGCTAAATTATGTAGGTTAGGAACCATGATGTTAGAATTATATTGTAACTAGCAGTATAACCCGTCTTCGACCGGGTCTTTCATTACTGTGAAATTTTTGCCGTTCAGTTGGAGCAGTTTAAAATCAGCCCACCCAAAAATTAATATTAGTAACAACAATTGGGTGCAACTGAGGCACATCATCAAATGGGAGGTTAACAATTTGAATGGGGGGGGGATGGCCCTGAAAAGGGAACTGTATAATAATAAAAAAATATTGTAATAATTTATGCTATTTTTATGAAAGCTATATATCCAAGAACAAATAGTAAAACATTGCTGAGAGTTAGAATGGACAGGAAATAGGGGAGAGCCATTGTCGCAAATAATTTGGACTCAAAACCTGCACCGAAGAATTCTTTCAAAAAAAAAAAAATTTCATCAAAATCAAATGAAAACTGGAAATGCATGTACAACATCCGATCACACACACACACACACACACATTTTGAGAATTGTAGATGTAAATAAATGTTGTCATGCAGCCTATTTTCAGAATAGGTTTCTGAACAAGCTGCATGACAAAATTTATATGAAAAAAAAAAAAAATTGCAAATCTGCTAATTATCAGATTTTGAAATTTTCTTTAAATTAAATTATTATAGAATATATTTTCTAATCTGCATATATCAAGCAAATCTGTTTTGTAAGAATTTTGGCACAGATGACACAGATACTACACTCTAATCCTAGGCAGAGGGCCATGGAATAACACTTTGATCCAGAACATAAGTGCCAGTCCATACATTAAAATCAATCTAATCATTGATGTGTATTTTGATATTTTAAACAAATTATTTGGTTCATTTTACCGTCCATTTGCAAAATGTTTTTTCCAACCTAGAAACATTGTTTTTGTAATTTAAGCACATGTTTGGAAGAGTTTCTACTTTTCTTTGCTATATAGACTCTCATTTGAAAGGTCAGTTTAGTGCCTGTTGAAACAGTGATTTACAAATAAGGTGCAATTTCTTTTAATAAAATTTTGTTTTATGTGCTAAAATACAGTTATATTCTATCAATCTTTACCAAAAAACAAGTTTTAATTTCAAAATATATGAACACTGGTACCATAAATAATTGCCTATAATTCAAAATATGTTTTGGCTTTACATAACTCAGAAAGGGTTGATAAACTGTAAAAAAAAAAAAAAATGAAAAACAAGTCAGTTGAGTCATAATATATGAATCTTTTAGAATAAATTGTCATTCCACAGAAATAAATATAATTTTTATTTTTCTCTCTCTCTTTTAAAGCTATCAAAAAAGAATCAATTTGGAATTCTTAACATCGACAAATAAATTAATATTTTCTACATTATTTACTTGCTAGTGTAGTACCTGTCAAAAAATGATGTAATTATTTATATATAGATCAGCACTTCTTTCGCAGATCAGTGTAGTATCGATGCACTTTTTCTAGGATCACAGTGTCGCTCTTGGCTTTCTGCTTATGACCAGTATAGTATCTATAAGCACTGCTTAATTTGGTATTTAAAAATTAATTTTACCATGTTGTTGAAGTCACAGAATGCTGGCATAATCATTATGTTGTTCAACTCCTTACCTCTAGGTCTGGTGTTTAAATTAGGGCTGGATTCTTTTGTTAATTTTATATATCTGTTTGTTTTAGCATAATATATTATGGACAAAGAAACATAGAAAATGTTATTTTATATAATTTATTTTTTCTACATTTAAATTTTCAGTGGAAAATTCCCATTTTATTGTATGGGAGACTAGAATGATAAAATTACAAAACTGACACTCTAGCTGATCTGTTTATTGGTATTCATTTCTGGTTGTCTTTAAAGCGATATTTATCATGTCTGGGTAACCATCAAATGTGGTTCAAAGCAAAAAAAAAAAAAAGTAACTGATGAAAAAGAGAGTTCAAGGCATGTACCAGTAGAAATTTCTTACTCTTCTCAGAATTCTTTCAGCAATTATTATATTTTTTATTTTTTTATTTTTAGTTTATTTTGAGGGACACGTACAACAAAGGTTTCTTAACTGTTTTGTTTGTGAAAATCTATACAAATATTTATTCTCAACATCATTATTGACTTTTCTAAAGGTATTTATACTGAAGTGGCAAAAATGTATCTTAGTTATTTTTTTAATTTAATGTTTAAAAAAGTATTTTAAAATTTAAGTAACTTGGCATATCTAATCGTATAATTAATGTAACTTATTCTTTAACAATCTGTTTGTTATGAATAGCTAAAGATTATTGAAGTGAGTATATTGTTGAATTTTTTCATTGTTAGACCAGGATCCATTTTTGTGATAGTTTTTATATCCATATTTACAACAGATAATTGAACATATTTTGCTTCTATGACCCCTTTTTTCTGTAGTTGGAATTGGTCAAACATTTTCTTATGATTGTGTTCCCTCTCCTCCATTTTAATTTCTCCATATTTCTTTCTTTCCTTTATCTTTCAATCTTTCTTTTATATTCCAAATATAGAAGGCAATCCAAGCAGCCAGTTTGTGTTTAAATTAGGAAGGAGTTAATGTGATTGTCCATTTTATTGGTAGCTGACTGTTGTCTGCTACCTGGGGTTGGGTTTCTGCTGTGCATGATGGGAAAGCAAATACAGAGATTAAAATGTATTTGCAAATATTCTGTGATATGGGAGGGAATGAAACTTAACTTCTTGCTCCCTAAAAGAAAGGAACATTCTGGAACAAAACTTGCTGCCCATGTTTCAGGATGGAGACTTAGATGTCTCTCTTTTTTTTCTTTTTTTTTTACTTTTCTTTTTTTCTTTTCTTTTTTTTAACTTTTTTTTTTAAACTATTTTTTTCTTTTTCTCATTTTTTTTTTTTCCTCAAATGAAAACCTTCTCTTGCTATTGTGTTTCCATTTTTTTTTTTTTTCTTTTCTTTTTTAAGATTTTTTTGGTTCAGCAGCAAAGAGCAGCTCTCCACATGTTTTTCTGATGGTTCCTCTAGCAGATTTGGAATGGGGCTGGATAATTTGTGGACAATCCTTTTTTGTTCTTAAATTAATCAATATCTGGCCTTTTTATGTTCCTGTTTATTTACTTTTTTTTTTTTTCTTTGTTTTGTTTTTTTTTATTTACCTATCTCTTGTATTGTTTTTTTTTTAACTCCCTCCCTTCAAATATTTCCACCAATCCCCACCTCCAATATGTAGACACACCTCTTTTTTTCTCTCTCTCTCTCTCTCCCTAATTCCATTTATTTTTCATCTTGAAGGGATGGTCTCTTATTTTCTCTGGGCTAACAGATATCCTCATCTTTATTTAATTAACTACATTTCAACCTCCTTATTCCATGACCAACAATGGTAGCATACATTAAAAATTAGAATACCTTTCAAACGTCTTCTGTTCTGTTGAAGATTTTTCTTTAAATATTTTTCTTTTTCATTTAATATCTTAGTCTATTTCTATTTTTCAATTCAATAATATGTATCATAATTCAATAATATCTGTCAGAAATCTTGCACTCTATTGAATATTGAACTTGCCAAAGATTTAACTAAATAATGGTAGAAAATCATCAATCAGTATTGATTACACCAATTCTAACCAATAAAAAGCCATTCTATAACCTATGAAATATATGGCACAAGACTCTTGAATTTGTCAAATCACTTCTGTTGAAATAGAACCATGAAGTATAGACAGTGAATATTTTCATAATATAAAACCTGTTATTTACAGCAAATTGTTGGAGGTTTATTCTTTATCAAAATAAACACACAAGAACAACTGATTCATACAAGAGTAAATTGCAGACATTTTTTTCTTTGATGTCTTTTTATCTTATTGTTCTCAGATTTTAAGGAAAGTCAGCTTTACAAATGGAAAGAAAGTTAGTTCCAAATTACAGCTTTTGTTGACCCTGAGACATATTTTTTATTTCTGTTATATTCCGTGCTAATAGGAATATTTACTTGAAAAACATGATGGTTAAAAATAAGTAATGGTTTATAGTACAAAACGAATACAATAAGAATAAAGGTAACACTTACACACAAGGTTGTTGCAAGTCAATCCAGTAGTGAGTGCTACTATTGGAAGGTTGATAGTTCTCACGTAAGTCTGAGTCATACTCAACAGATCTCAGCTAGTCTCTGTAGTCTGTTGACTTACAGATACTTATAGGTAGTTACTACCTATAGTGTAGTCACTCATGGGGGCGACAGGTTATTCCATTGCATCAATTTCAAAATTAAAACCTACATGTATAAGTACTAACTCTGTGTTTCTCCACCTTTTTAACAGCAAACTTAAGAGCAAATGAAAATATCGTGGCACACATTAGCAAAATTTTTAAAGGGTATGCATTTAAATGTTATAGAATAAAAACATCGATTTTTTTACAAATACAAACACAGATATGAACTTAGTTTATTTCAATGTTTCTGTTCAACTGTGTGTGCATAATTGAAGAATAGTAAAAAGAATTATTTGAAAAATGTTTACTACTCATTCATTTATTCAAATACTAATGCTGTACCATTTACTACTGCCACACACACATACATATATATGTATGCCATGATTATTTCACAACTCACTTAAAAGTATCTTTTCCCCAAAAGACCTTAAAAACAATTTCTTGACAGAAACCCTTACATTATCTTTTTCTTGGTAATAATTCAGATAATGTTCCATGTAAGAGAACAACTAATCTCTCTCTCTCTCTCGATGTAGAAATTTGTAAAAACAATTTCAAATAAACTTAAGGTTTTTTTTAAAAAGAAAATGTTAATCTTGAACAGAATTTCACTGAAAATGATTTTTAAAGAAATTCTTATTACAATAAGCTTACGGCCATACCATGTTGAAACACCAGTTCTTGTACGATCACCAAAGTTAAGCAATGTCAAGCTTAGTCAGTATCTAGATGGGTGACTGCTTGGAAATACCAGATGCTTGAATTGGCAGGTGGTGGAATGAATAATGGCTCAAGATTGGAAATTGGTGAGCAAAATTCCAATTCCAGTTGCATTTGTTATATTCACTAGGAAGAGGTATGAATCCACCTTTTCTCACTCCAGATATGGGTTAATTAGTAAGATTTGTATCAATAAATCATATTTCAAAAAGATTCTTACAGTCTAAATATATTTTCTGGCTTTAAATAACCTGCAAAAGATTGATGAACTGTAAAAAAATTAAACAATTCAAATTTACAAAGTTCTAAATCTAAAGGAATTATATGGTTCAGCCTTCAATACTGTAAATTTCAAAGGTCATATTCATAGATATATTACAGAGTTTCAAAAGCATTTTCATTTTTAAACTTCTTGACAGCTAATGTGTGTTTTCTTAAGCTTCTGTAATTTTCGACAATTGATATCTTTCAATGATTCTTGTTCTTTTGAAAGTTTTCTAACACTGCAGATTTGGTTCTGATCAATTCTAAAAGACAATTCAATATCCTTAAAATGTTTCACTTATTAATACCCACCGTCATATTCTTGGGACAGTGAAAATTAATGGGTTATAAGTAGAAAACTATATTCAATGCTGGATTATTTTGATTTTTTTTTTTTTTAACCTTAATACTCCTCTTTCTTTTCTAATTTTTATTTTCATGTTTATAATAAATACCAGATTCTAATGGATTAAACCAATTCTGGGCAATGCGATAAGATATTGATTCATTTTCTTCCACTTCCAGAATTCTGTAAGCAGCTCTGAAAACATTTTTCAATAATGCCTCAAAATTGGCAGAATCTTAATGTGTCTCTGCCATTATAACTTCTAAAACAAAAGGTTCAGCTGAAGAAAGAGTTCTCAATATCGGAGACGGAGCATATATAGATATAGACAGTGTATACATAGGAATCAACACTGCATGGTGACTGTCAATTTCACATACACAATCCACTATATATGCAGTACTGATTCATATGCCCACATTGTCCATATCATGTCTGTATATATATATATATATATATATATATATATATATATATATATATATATATATATATATATCTAATAAATCCTAAAGAGCCAGGAACTACCTACCTCGGTTTCACCTAAATGGATCTTCAGGGTAAGCTGTCTTACCCTGAAGATTTGTTCAGATGAAACCTAGGTAGTTTATTTTATTTATCCTTCCTCTACTTAGCGTATTGAGCACTACGTTTTATCTTAGTTACTTGCTTGGGATTTTTTTCTTAGGACTGGAAATTTAAGACACTGGATGATTTTTTTCGCCCTGTTCAGATGTTTCTAGTTCTTTCTTTTTCTTTTTTTTTTTTTTTTCCTCGGATACCAATTTGTTTTGATATACTTGCAAATTGTGCCATCCTGGTTTTTTACCAACCGAGTATAATTATTAGTAATATATATACATGCGCACACACACACTCACTCTCTCTCTCTCTCTCTCTCTCTCTCTCTCTATACGGAACTATAGGGTTTAGATTATTAACTTTTGGAGTAAAGGTCTGTGACAAAATGATACTTTTGATATGCTCTGATATTCATTTTTTTTTTTTTTTTTTTTGATGTTCACTCTATACAAGGCTTAAGAGACACTCAAAGTAGTGGATTACTGAACGGTTCTTGTATAAGCAATAAGAAGTGCAGTTTGTGAGGATATGTGGTGAACGATAACAGTTAACACTAGACTTGAAAAGGTTAAAATTTTAGTGGTCAGGAAAGTGGGATTCTGTTCCACAAATAGCAGTTAATGGGAAGAAGCTGTTAGAATGAAACATGCTTCTTATTAAAGGATTGAGGATTGTTGGTTTGTATGCAGAATGGCAGGTCTTAGATGTGAGGGTTAGACTTGGTGCAATGTACCTTGCAAGAACACTATAAATGTTGAATTATGACTAATTTAGTTTATTGACCATATTCATAAGAAAAATTAATTTTGTTTCTTCATTATTTATATTCTTGATCATATATAACATTATTCAATTTTAGCAACTCTTTTGTGGGCAAATAAATTCAAATCAACAACACCCAATAAGTAAACGAATGTATTAACAAATATAAATAGGACTTCTAAAAAGGAGCAAGTACTACTGAGAACTAAACAAAAAAGACTGGAAGCTGTGGAGAACCACGATTGCCCATGTCCCAAAGGGTCATATCACAGAGTATTACTTTGATCATTTGCTTCATTAGGAACTATGTTGCTGAGTGTTAACTGCCAAAACTTTGTTTACTAAAAAACAAAAATGTGGTAATATAATTAATGAAGTTGATCAATAAGTTCGTAGTTGGCAGTTTTGAATTTTGATCAGATATTTTTGCTGTATAAATTTCTATTCTTCTTATTAATAGACAAAGAATGAGATTATATTGAAAAATAATTTAGGCTTAAATGCTTTCTCCAGCCATCTTTAAGTAAGACAGACTCATTGATCTATCCAAAAATATTCTGTAAAATATTAAATAAGAATAGTTCATGAGAGCATTTAAATATTGAATCATAATTAAAATTTAGTTTGTTGACCACATTCATAATATAAATTAATTTGGTTTCTTCATTATTTATATTCTTGATATTATGATATTATTTAATATTATATAACATTATTTTAATTTAGCAATTTGTATTCTTTTTATTCCTAAAAAAAAGCCTTGGGTTAAATGTATTAAAGAATGAGATTATGTTAAAAAATAATTTGTTTGAATGCTTCCTCCAGCCATCTTTAAGTAAGATAGACCCATTGATCTATCCAAGAATATTCTATAATTGTTTGTCACTTTAAAAGCCATTAACATTTCAAATATCATTCAGACATTTGGCCTCTCCCCAACTTTTATTTTTTTATGCTTGCTGCTATAAACTTGTTTCAGCTGATCCATTCTACAGCTCTTATCAGGTGAAGAGGAGGATACCTTATTTTTACCTCATGAATTGCACCTATTTTGAAACTTGACCAGCTGAAATTTAATAACAACAGCAAGTATCCAAAGAAAAGGTTTGAATGTCTTAAACCATGTTGGTCGTATGATATAACAAAATGTAAGCAGTACATAAAAGGAAAAGATCATTTATTAATTCTATTTAAACTTGCTTGGTGTTGCTCAATTTACTGCAGCCAATTAAAACTGTAAAGGATGCTGATATTGTATAAATTAAGACGAGGATGCATGTTGAATGAAATAAAGGCAGTTATCTCCCTTGTTAGTACTGGAGAAGGACGGTTTCTTTTTTTTATCTTTTACTTGTTTTTTTTTTCTTTGTATGCCGGAAGATTTTGGGATTTTGACTTTTTTTTTTTTTTCTTCCAAAATGGTTCACATTTGATAGTTTGTTGGATGGCTATTGTTCTTTTGCCATCAGCAGCCATGATAAAACCTCGCCTTCCCAACTGGTTCAATTTACATTCTCATTCTTCAGAGATACAATTATTTAGGATTTTCTGATATGAGAATGAATTAACATTTTGGTAATCTTTACTTGGAAATCTTTATTCCCCCCACCCTCCAATTTCTTCACATCATTTCCTAACATTTTCTTAACATTCTTGTTACCTATTTATTTCTATGTTTTACTTCAGTTTTTTCTTTGTCTGCCATCATCACTGAATTTTATTTTTTATTTGAAGGTGCAAATTTTTTTTTTTTTTTTTTCTCATAAATTGAGAAAAGATACAAATTCGAATCAAATCTTGACTTGGGGAGAAAAAAAGCTACATTTTATTCTTTATTTTCTACTTTCAGCAATTTGGGAATTAATTTTCTGAAAAGTTAAACTATACAAAAATTTTCACCAGAGAACCCCACCCTCCAATCCTTTGGGAATAATTGATGCAGCTTTTCTTGAAAAATTTTAAAAAAATAAAAAAAAAAAAAAAAAAAAAAGAAGAGTTTGTCAGGCCTTGTGCAAGTCTTTTACACTTAAAAGTGCTTGTAGGTTCTTTCATTCATTTTATTACTCAGCTCTAAAATCTACTCGCCAGTTAATTTGCTCATTCACTTGGTGGCTACAAGCCGGTGAATGAAAGAATAGTTGAATTAATTCTTCATTGGGATGGTTCTGATCCCAACTCACCTGCTTGTATGGTTCAACATTGATGAAATGAGGTACGACTAGTTGTTGTTGTTGTTGTTAACTTTCAGACATTATGCTCGTCTTTGATGTTTCAAATGTTGTGTTGAGACCAGTACGCCTTCCGATCATAATTATGTCACCTAGTAAAAGTGACCTGTAGATTTTGTTGTCATCTCTGTCCACTTAGGTAAATTATTACTTATGATATCATCTGAAGATTAAAAAAAGAAAATTAAAACAAAATGTTGTGATTGGAATGTTATCTCTTGCCAACACATAGACGCACATAAAAAAATGAAAGAGAATAAGAAATTTTGAAAATTATTCTTCATATTTTCCAGCAAAATAATCTTTCAGCTCCCTGTAATTTGACTCTAGCTTTTTTTCTGCCAGTTGCTGATATATATATATATATATATATACACACACACACACACACACACTAACACTAACACAAAAAAAATGTGACACAAAACATACATCATATATACAAGATGATTTACAGAACAGCCTCAACCTGTTCGTCATCAGTTCTAACATGCAAAAACCAGCAAGCAACAGTAGCATTTAAAGCCCGGACACTCATTTCACGAGAAATAGACAATACTGTAGTCCATATTCTGTCATTGATATCACAAACTCTTTTTCTATACACACTCTCCTTCACCATACCCCACATAACCAGAAATTAGAGGGGAGGTCAACACTGTGCAACCTGTTCATCAACCTGAAAATGTGTGGTTGAGATAAGCATGAACAGTATGGGTAAAATACTGTACAGTATTAGCGCAACATAATTTTGGCCAACTCTTTGTGTGTGTCTGTGTATATATATATATATATATATATATATATATATATATATATATATATATGTGCATAATAAAATTTATAATTTGACAAT